CTACAATACTCTTTTGTCTTAGTCTTTTTCGTGTTTTTACTGTAATTTTTTCCACTGATTTATTTATCTCTTTCATTCAACTTCGCCTTAAACAAGAATACAAGAGTGCATAAGTAAAAATCATTAACAAAGGTTACATCGATAGTAAGCTGACAAGTAATGGTAGAGTCAGTAAAGTGGTCCCACTTACCTAATAAATGCCTCCGTGCAGAGCACAAAAAAATTGGGCGGGGATATCTGGGAGGAAAAGTGTTAAACCACTATCTTAAGAACGGATGTGTTAGCAAATTATTACGTCAAAAGTTCCTGAGCTGTTTCCTAAGGTTGAAAATAACAACGCGTGAAGAATTTACAGTACGCCGGTTAAGGTGTAGAAGGAAGTTAAACAGGGTCGATATACCCAGTGCTCACTGTTGCTTAGAACAAGCCGGACATTCACTGCACTTTGTAAAAAGTCAAACGACTTCCTAATAATCCTATTATGAAATGTGATCAGATTGCTGTCTGAAGAGAGTTTTGGGTTCGAAATATGCTGCAAGTTATAGAGTTAAGTAGCATAGCCGAACGACATCTTTTACACAATCGCAGCATTGTCAACTCTCTGTTACCGGTCACCTCAAATAGAACGGACACTTAGAGTTGGTCCCTGACTTCTTTACTGGGCTTAAAGGCAAAAAACGGGCTCAAGTAGGAAAAATATCGGCGACCGAAGCGAGCCCAGAGGAACGTTTTTTTTTTTCCCTTTTTTCCCCGATGCGGAGCCTGGTCCCAGGCTACGAATATAAGGGTAACATATCTTCAATATTTTGGGTGATCAGTGATCTCTTCATGAACTAATGTTGAACCGACAGCGTTCCTATGGGTGCAGATTTAAAGACAGAGGTAAAAAGTGACATTATTTGTACAAAGATTCTGACCACAGACAGGGTTATAATTCGCCTTTTGGTCAGAATATTATGCAAATACTACTTTCACCGCCTTTGTATACCAACCAACCGAGGAAAGGCCTTAAGAGTCACCGTAAATATTTTCTTACTTCGCCAATTTACGGAATTTTACGGGAAGAGATGACAAGCTTTACCTCCAAGTCAAGATTCAAAAGCTTATCCTCTTTGCTATACTGATGCAGTGCCTAGAAATTACTATAATTTCTTTTTTATCTATTGGCGTATATGTGATCAGTTTAGAAACTGTTCAAAAATTCGTTTTAGAGCCGTAAACAATGCATTCGTTGCAGTTCAAGTTTACAAGTTTCTTGCCATTTTCGTAAACCCTTTAGCTCCGGCAACAAAACTTTAAAGAAAATCAAGTAGTTAAAACCAGACGTGATATTAATCGTTATTAAAAACTATTTACAGTGGCAGTCTGTCATGTAGTAAAAGTTTTGGTATCGACCGCTTATATATCTCGTAAAGGTCGCATTCGCGGTCAGTTTACGATTATTTTCATACATACTTAACCACAAGTGTTTTAACGGTTATTTTTACTGATACGTACATAACTATGAGTGTTTTTTTAGTGTTTGTTTGTCAGTGGTCTAAATCTTTTAGTATTCAAAATCATCATCATCAACTACCAGAATAGCACTTGAAATGGCAAAGGGCGCCTAATCCATAAGAGCCACAAAGTTTCAGTGTATTTTTTCCGTTCAAATCAGAAATAACTAGACTTCCTGTCTTTTATTTTCATCTCTTTTGCAAAAACGCTCCATTAGTAGTTGGATAGGACATCTTTCCGACTTGAATAGGTAGCCAAGCTAGTAAAGATTTCTAACTTTGGGTTTTTGAAAAAACTTGATTGTTCTAATTTCTTTTTTTTTCTAAGATAGCTTGTACGATAATAGGTCTTACATAGTGATTTTTAAAGAATTAAAGCCCTTTTTAGTTTTCTTCGAGATTATGAAAAGTGTTTACGGAAGCGGAAATCCCATGTACGACATGTACATTTTATGGGTGGTCTGTTATGCTGCTCACTTTAATATAAAAACGCGCTGTAACAAAACAAAATGATGGTAAAAAGACCATTTCAAATGATTTTGTTTCTACTGTTGCTGCCTTCTTCTAGCTATTGGTTCTAAAAGATGTAATTTAAAGACCAGCCGTAAAGTTAGGCATTGTTACATTCCAGAATCTGACCACACCCAGACCAAAGTACGCTTCCGCGGTTCAGCGGTAAATGTCCTCCAGGGATGAACAAAATCAATGCTTTTTAGTGATTTACATGTGTTTTGGATTTTGCGAGAAGAAGCCGAGAGTAAGCTTTCCGAGTACAAGATGCAAAATCTGACAAGAATCTGGTAAGTGTTGCCCTCCTTTTATAAACGTGGAGTACCACGTTGTTCCTCTTTTCGCGGTTTCTTTGACTCTCAATACACTCTTTTTTAAATAAGAGTTTATTTAGATAGTCATACAAGTCACCCGCCCCTTGAAGCTGAAAGCTTAAGAATATTTCAAAAATAAACTACAAGATGAGGTTTTAAAGAGGATATTATTTTGTAAGCTGAAACTCTATAAATACAATAGAGTTAAATGTTTTTAACTATAAAACGTGTAAAATTTGTTCTTTCTATTTCTATTCAATGAAACCATAAACGGCCTGCACTTGCCGAATGTCAACCCAATACATACTGAAACGGAAATGTCATTCGCTATAATCTTTAATATTCACAAGGATATTTTCAAACTATTTAAAAAAATGGGACAAAAAAATTATTCAGCCTGGGCCGGAACAACAATAGTCTTATACATAAAAAGTTTGTAACGCAGACATATCTTGGAAAGACTGATCCTTAGTTGCTTATTTTATTTCCCTCTAAAGAAAGAGTGACTGCACTGAAATGATGCCGTTTTAACTTTATCTTTTTTGTCACCTCCAACAACAAGTTGTGCCGGATTTACCTCGTACTTGATAAAGTCTAATATGTCTACAGTAAAAAAATAATGACACCTTGTTTACAAGTATTCCACTTTAAAAAAAAAAAGAAGAAGAAGAAGAAGCATGCAAGTTCTTTAAACATCAGGAGAGGTCGTTAGGTTAAACCTCGAAACTAAGAAAGTGTATAACGGAAGTTAAGGAAGTACTCTCCTTAAAAAAATTGACCCGAAGTAGTTGACATGATAGTAAGTGTAACTTTATATGGGAAATTTTGGTGCTGAGTAGTCATGGCTTCCCATTATCCTCGCTTGAGGAATACGAAAGGAGCCAAGAGAGCATTTACAATAATTTTCTTTAATTCTGCGAGAAAAAAGGCTTGGAGGAGTGGAAGTTAGCTGACAACGCCGGCAGTTCAATTAGTTATTTGAAGAGAGATGTTATATGTAGTTTGATGCTGTTGTACTCTAACGGGGAGATTTACTACTTCCAGAGGTTGTCCTCTAGGACTCTAGGTTTTTAGAACGATATCGTGGTAAATTATTGAAGCACATTTCTACAGAAAATATGTCAGGGTTGCATGATTCTTAAATGGTCAACGGTCGCTTGGTCAGAAGAGAGAGAAGGCTGATTGGAGCGAGCGACCTCAGATGCCTTAACATGGTCTTTCCTAGCCTTATCCTGTACCCAACACTCTTCGTTTCTTTCTTTCTTTCATTCTTTTTTTTTGTTGTTGTCGTTTCACTCTCCATTTCGTAATGCTTCTCTCATTCTGAACATCTCCAACTAGCTACAGGTCGTTCCATGATGTTGACGGTGTTTTGTTTTATTTACATCGTATTGCTCTGTTTGGGCAATGCATAAAATTTACCACGAGCACACAACAGGGACCTGTTTGATCGAAAACGCTTTCGCGCTTTTCAGAAACACTACGAAGTATCAAGCGGCGAGAATAACTAAGAGAGATTTCCGTCCGGGATGCGTTTATCGTCAATTTCTTCTGCCGGGCGTGGCGATGGAGACGTTTAGAGCTAAATGTCAAAAGAGGTGTGGGGGATACATCTTGCCGGCGATAACTCGATAAAGATAATCGATTTATTTTAGAGTTTAATTAACAAGGAGCGGAAATAGACCAGCTTAATTTCTTCTACTCCAGGACAAAAGAGATTTATGTAATTGCTGAGCCCTAAGAGTCGCGATTTTTCGGATCGGAAAATAAAAAAAGGTTTTTTTGGTCATTATGTGCATAGTGTATAGAGATCCAAAGCTATAAAAGAAGGGTAGATACTACACAGAAACCGGCCGCCCGAGCGCAGAAAGTAGAACCACAAAATAAGACTGACCAGTGCACATTAAGGAAGATTTTCTGTACTCTGCGCATTACAATTTTATATTTTTAGACAAAAGACATTGATCTATAAAAAGTCTGTGATCTGTGTTACAGGGGCGCAAATTTATTCTGGATAAAAAAAATGTAAATATAAGAAAGTCAGACATTCAACCCTGCTGGGGATAAACGGGTTAATTGATTTAAAAATTACTCATGAAAGCTTTTACACCTTCAATCAAGATGATAAATGATTTGGCAAAACCCCTTCCTACTTCATCTGTCAGCTATCAAAGGAAAGGTGTGTGATTGAAGGCAGTGCCTTTTTAAGGATTTCCAGTCCAGTACAGATCTTACAGGTAAGAAAAATGGAAAACGTGGTAGGAGGAAGGACAAGGCCACAGCTTTAGAACAAATTTACCCAAAGGATTAGAAGGCTTAGGCTATGTAATTACGATGATTAGCGGACGAATTAAGAAGCTTAAGAGGTGTGGAATTTCACTCAGACACTTTCGGTATTTCTTCTAAACACAAAATGCGTGCAAACTCAGCATGTTTTCAATTAACCTTTGTGGGTGGTGGTCGGGGTTAATTTAGTGGCTGACAGTTTCCTGTGTTTTTGCAATGACACAAGAAGCGTAAGAGCATCATTTGTGCATTGTGTGTAACTGTACTATAAACAAGCTATTTGCTAGTGATCCGCTTAACTTTGCATTTAGCTACGAGAGTGTACACAGTCATAATCTTAAGAGCTTTTTGAAGAGGTGTCGCATTATCCCTCTTAAAACACCGGATTGAAGAGATGAATGAGCAATCAGTGAAGACAAGAAGATCCAGCCGGCAGACAGCTCAACCAAAGCCTCCACTTTCTTACATTGCACTTATATCAACAGCGATACTCAGCTCTCCTCGTAAAAAGCTCACGTTGACCGAAATAAACAAGTACCTCGTGGATAATTACGAGTTCTTTCGCGGAAGCTATCAGGGCTGGAAAAATTCTGTGCGGCATAACCTCTCATTTAACAAGTGCTTCGTGAAAATACTGAAGGATCCATCGCGCCCATGGGGCAAGGACAATTACTGGACAGTTTTGGTGGATTTATTGGAAGAGTACATTAAGGAAGACGGGAATTTCAGGCGCAGAAGAAAACGCCAGCCTCGACCAAAAGGAAAGGTTGAGCCATCTGACGTCACAGAGGGATTCAACGTTAAACATACGACACAAATTGAAAAAAAGAACTTCGATATCAGCCCCAGCCCAGACGTATTGACCCAAAGCAAGGGAAATATAGATCTGAACAGATTTTCCATCGATAGGCTACTGCAGGTGGAAGATGAAGTTCGGAATGACGATAAATTTGGCTATCAGATGTTTGGTGGCCCTACAACAGCGTTTCAAGGTATGATATCCAAGGGTAAATAGTAATTAACAACTTCTAGGGAAATAATTAAATTATCTCCTTTGCAAACGGTTAAATCATGATCACCCGTTCACTCCCAGAACATCTAAGGCCTCATCTTATGTAGATTTAACTTTTGAGTTCAAGGAAAACATCCTTTTACTTTTGAGTTTGTGGATGAAATCCTATGGTGTTACCATTTAAATGAAACCTCTTCAGCAATACTTTCACATGGTACTATTTATTTAGCATGTAGTTCAAACTTTTGAGTCTGTGGATGAAAGCCTATGGTGTTACCATTCAAATGAAACCTCTTCAGCTGTACTTTCACATGGTATTATTTATTTAGTATGTAGTTCTAACTTTCGAGTCTGTGGATGAAATCTTTTGGTGTTACCATTCAAATGAAACCTCTTCAGCAGTACCATCACATGGTACTATTTATTTAGTACGTTGTTCTAACTTTTGAGTCTGTGGATGAAATCCTATGATGTTACCATTCAAATGAAACCTCTTCAGCAGTACCTTCAGATGATACTATTTATTTAGCATGTAGTTCAAACTTTTGAGTCTGTGGATGAAAGCCTATGGTGTTTCCACTCAAATGAAACTTCTTCAGCAATACTTTCACATGGCACTATTTATTTTTTATGTACTTCTTACTTTTCAGTCTGTACATGAAAACCTATGGTGCCACCATTCAAAAAATCTCTCTTCAGCAGTACTTTCACATATCATTATTCGCTCTTCTGTTTCAATCCCCAAAAGCTCATTTCGGCATGGTGGTATCCGTTTTTCAGAATTTACGAAAGGAAGTTCGATCTTCTGTTCAACTTTGTTCAGTAGGCGGGCACCCTTGGGAAAGAAAATGATATATGCAGTCGATTCTTACGGGATGGGAGTAAAATGATTTTGACAAAAAAAAAGGTCTACAGCAGTAAACGGTCAACTTGAAGTTATACCAACACAGAACAGCTGGGGATAAGATCACTCATGTAGCTAAACTTTCATTAACCTAATCGTAGGGTCAAACACAGATTTAACGAAGTTTCAAGGCATGTTGCTTTCAGCAATATCCACAATTTTTTTCCCTTGTGGATGTTTATTTTTTTAACCAATTTGAATGAGCTTATGATACCATTCTATCAAAGGCGATCAACAATAACAATACTATGATAATCACATTTCAATTAAAGTGGATATTAAAACAAATCGATAGATGCATAATAATAAAACAAACGGAAACAGTGCCACATGGCCACCGAGTTCATGCCGAAACTCAGCTTTTAATATATTATCTTTTTCCAGCAGGTAGAGTGTATGGATACGACAACGGAAACATTTCCAATTTTCAGAGTGATGCATTTGATAGAAGATTTGGCCCTCCCCATTATCGTCCGAACAACTCGCAAGGACTGACCACGCCCTTCGGACCGCCATCTTGGAATCACGTTGACCCCTCATATCACAATTATCAGAACAGCAGCAAGAGTTTTTTCTCTTATCCTCCGAGTAGTCACTCTGTCGCCCACCATTATTACGTATAACGCACTGTCCTTCATTGCAGACACCTTTAGATTCAACAACGAGGACGAGATTTAACTTCAAAGTTTTTTCGCATATTCTAAAAGAATCGTAGTTTCTTGGTTTTGTGGACAGGTGCAATAATCACCAATAACGTGATGCAAAACATAGACACAATAGGGACTTTAAGATCCAACGACGCGACAGCAACAAGAACGTCGCTTAAAAAGTGAATTTGCGTTCTTTCAGTCTTTGTCGCGATTATTCCTACTTACTTACTTTGTCAAATGTACGCGAACTCTCCTAAATTTGAATTCCAAGGGACCTTATTCAATTTCTGAAGGCGAAATAAAACTTCCTGGTTGCTTGTTTACGTTCTCCATGAAACACGAAATTAAGCATTTTCAAGTCGTAATCTCGCAAAACCGGAAAAGAAATGTACAAAAAAGCTAGCCTGATGCACGTGCAAAGTTGTTGTTTTGCCTGTTAAAATGATTGTTTTTCAGACGTTCTCGTTGCCGTCGCGTCGTTGAATCTTAAAGTCCCTAATACCCTCACCAGAACACAAAACTGAGCGACCCAACAATGGTTTCTGCAACACCTAGCAACACCCCAAAAACTATGCACCCCGGAAAGTTTCATCGTCCCTTTTTTCACTAGAAAAGTTAGTACGTTTATTTTAATTGAAGTAGATTAAGCCCTCTCCCGATCGCATAATGATAAAACTTCTAACAGTTGATAACATATTTCTGCTACTACGATATTTTTTCTAAAACCCTTAGTAAAATGACGACGACTATCACGTTTTTCCTGCGCCAAAAAGACGCCGGTTCACGCGTGCGCACTATTTAGTACAGACTCATTCTCGTCTTTGCCGGAATCTAAAGGTCTCACTTAAGTTTGTTTGCCTTTCTTGAAGTACTTTTATTTATAATCAGATTTAAACTGGCAGCATATCTATCACCATTCTTATCTCACCCTAACACAACTTTTCCACAATCTGCATTTCAATCGTTTAAACGAAAGACTTTATTGTTTAACCTCTCAATTTGGAGCCAAATTTCAAAGCAGTACTTTGCATGAAGCATGATCCATTTGATAAAGTAAATCCTATGCGTCGATGTCCAGTTGTGTTTTTTCTGTTGATCAGCTGCATCGCCGTGTTAAGTTAAACAATTCTTGGCTAATTTTACACATGATAATACGATAAGCCTTTGTTTTCCGTAATTTTTTTCTATATAGTTACGTTTCAGTTAAATTTGTAGGTATGTCAGAAATAGATACAAATTTTTATTCAAAAATTATTCCAAAATCGGAGGCTTTTGACACTAGTTGCTAGAATGACTTTGAAACCTTGCAATGCAGTTAGTTACTAGTTCACGTAAGACGTTTTGTTCGAAGAAAACTTGTCAATATCATTCTAGGGACAGACCACGCCCTTTAAGGGCGTCATCTATCTTTGACAAATTTCCCGCGTAAATATCGCGGATACTATGTTCGAATCCTCAGTATTTGACAGTAAAGACATTAAAGAGGTTGTGTTTGATGTACAATGATTACAGGTTTCTACTCCGGAACAGAAATTTATTGTTTTCTTGATCAAGATATGAGCTTTAAATTTAACAAGGATAAAGGGCCGCAATAACCTTTTATCGGTGGTTGTTTCTAACCAAGCAATTTTGTCGAATGAGACAAAACTGCAAATAGGCCTAATAATTATGATCCTGAAGTGGGTTTTAATTTTCTTTATAACAATTTACTTTACAATTACACAATCGTATACATATCAAATACAACAAATTTGTGCCACTGGCCGCAGTTGTTCAAACGCTGGATGAGTATTAGGGGAAACCCAATTTCGCTATCCAATGGATAGAGACTACCTTTTGAACAGATGAGACCTGATCTAAGTCCCGATTTACCACCGTATAATTTGCTTTTTCACCGGTACATCACCAGGAAATAATTGTAATTTTAAATAGTAAAATTGTACTAAAACAACTAGAAAGCTCTCTCTCGATTTTGACATACAATTGAATCAGGGTTTAACCTTCGTCATCCAGTCTAACTGCAGACTGAAAAGTATCTGGTGTTGTATGCATGTAGGTTTCGTATGATTGGAAATCACAACACGTTTACTTTGATATTGACAGGGAAATTTACAGTAACTGTTTTGAGGAACCATGAGCAGCTTTAATGCACAGTAAGTCGGGCCATCAAAGTCCTGCCTTTTCCACAGTCATGTGTGGTGCGTCGATGAAGTCGTGATGCTTGAAAATTCGATTTGACCGGAATTTGAAATTAAACATATAGTCAGGAGGCAGCTCGCCAAAAAACGATTTTCGCTAAACATTTTCAGTAGAAGCAGGCAACATAGCTTAAAATCTTCGTCTTGCCATCCTAATTACGAATTGTGCTGTTGCCCACTCCAAATGTTATGATATCTGTCATTAAGCAGGTTTTTTGTCTAGGCCCTCGCTCCTGCAGCATGAAAACGAGGCTGAACTGTAACATTTATATAAACCCAATAAAAAGTGCACAATACGATGGGGAAATAGCTGAATCTTTGTTACTTGACGTTTAGAGCTCGATAGACAGTAGTGTGGGAGATAAAATGCGTCACGTGATCAGTTATGAAGAGTCACGTGACTTTCCAATAAAATCGATTTTAAAGCATAAAAGACGCTCTATTCACACTTCCCTTTAATAAAGTTTTCAACTTACTGACGTTTCTCTTTTCGATTTACAGATCCAACAATAAAAAACACAAAAATGCAATAGGTGATCAGCTATGATGGGTCCCGTGACGTAATGAAATCATTCTATTTTCAGTCATTCTGTAGCGTTTCCAACCTATGTAACATTTCCCATGAGTTAGGATTTTTCATGTAAAAAGACTGAACTTTCTTCTACTTGGCCGCACGGCTTAAGCCAGAAATACAAGCTTATAAACCATAAGCAAAGTATCTTATATTACACAAGACCACCATGTGACTTCCACCTTATCAAAGTTATAGGTCATGCTTCATTCGCCTCTGCTGCAGTGTTCCTGTCGTTTCTGCACCTGTCACCACATTTACATGCCTTGGAACACCAAAGAGATAGTTTAACGCAAGTGTAGCGTCGGTTTACACAGCATCCGCCTTCTCGGGAGCACCCACAGTATGCTAACTGTAAACACGCCGCTGACACTTCTTCAAGTGTCATTAACTTTGGCTTCAGAAGGCCTTCACTGTAGTACCATCCGCTGTCTTCAGGCTTTGGGAGAGAAGGACATGGTGCCAGCGCTTTATTCCATACGATGGTCTGATAGTTTGCCCGCTTTGTGTGGAGAATCAGTGCATCTTGAGTCGGAGGTAGGGCGTCGAGATCTTTCTTGGATTTGCGAAACGCTGCTGCTCTTTCTTTGTTGATTTCCACCTCTTGTGTTCCCGGATTGTAGAGTTTGCATACAAAGGCTTGAGCTTTTGCAAGAACGTCAGCACTGATTTGGCTTTCTTCTCCATGGTGTTCCAAGAGGTCAGGTGCATCTTCGAAGACTTTCCATGCCGAAGCCTTGCCCACACCATAGAACTGGCTTGTCGTATCACAGCCAGTAATGGCATCAAATGCCAGAGGCGACTTCCTCTTCTCCTCGGAGAGCGGGATTTTGTGAACTGGTATGTAACGCCTTTGTCTTGATGTACCCGCAAACATCCATATCTCTTGACAAAGCTGCTCTCGGTGTGCCAACAGGAGGACAAGAACGTCCTTATCACGACACAAAATGTTGACTTGCTTGTACCCTCTTGCTGCTACGTCTCGGGCATGCAGTACTATTCTAGTATCTGCCTCCTCATGATCTGATGAGAGCTCTCTTATATCTTGTCGTGATGTGTCAGATGACCACACCTTCAGTGTGTCCTTGAAGCCTCCATTGATCACCAGCTCTCGCCCAGGAGGCGGGCTGTAACTCTCCGAGATTTCAGTCGAGAGGAAATGAGGTAGGCTAGCCTTGTTGTCTTCTAGAATGATGAACCTTTGCCAGTTCCCAATTCTCTAATATCTGTTATCCACATTGCGCCTAATCCCTGTACTCTTTTTGTCCTTGCGCTTGTCTCTGGTTCCTCCTTTTATCGAGTTCTTGACATATCTGTCAAATAGCAGGTCAACCCTTGTATAGCCTCCCCCGCAGACATTCTTAGGCGTGCGTCACGCGTTCCTTCCGTGACGCACGCCTAAGAATGTCTGCGGAGGAGGCTAGACCTCGGGGGCAGTCTGCGAAAGCATCTTCATGTCTGCAAGAAATATGACGCCCCATCTGGTGTAATTCAAGTGGTCGAAAGCTGCAAAATAGGGTAGCATTTCGGAGAACGAAGAGAGATCAACTACTTGATTGAGCCAGATAAACACCCTAAAGGCTCGGACACAGCAAAACATTGCGCGCAGTAAAGACAGATCCCACTTCCCTTCCCGGATCGCACGCGTAAACCTCAGTAAGATGGACACCGGTTTCATGTATTGTCTCCAGTAACAACGAGAGGTTGTCATGATGTGCGGCATCAAAAGCTTTGATGATACGTGCAGCTTGTCCAACTTCATTAACAAGCTCATTGCTAGTCGGGGCATCTACTAATGCATCATCGTCGTTCCCAGTCGTAAACTTAGTGACCAATGTTTCCGACAGATTGAAGCAGATATTTACCCCATGAAACAAAGTTTTTTTTTTTATTTCTAATAGAAAATAATTCCTGAAGAGCTTACTGAAACAATTAATCAATCACGCTATTCACACAGCTAAGGCTTATTCAGTATCTATTCAATGGTTGCTATCTAGTCACGTGACCCATTATAGCTGATCACCTATTGCATTTTTGTGTTTTTATTGTTGGATCTGTAAATCGAAATGAGAAACGTCAGTAAGTTCAAAACTACTTTTTTAAAGGAAAGTGTGAATAGAGCGTCTTTTATGCTTTAGAATCGATTTTATTGGAAAGTCACGTGACTCTTCATAACTGATCACGTAACGCATTTTATCTCCCACACTACTGTTTATCGAGCTTAAACTTAAGTGGCTCTTGGTATGAAATTAAAATGGCAGGAGGTTGAACGTTGCCGAAAGAAGACAGACGATAATATTTGTTGCGCGCAAATATGCAAAACATACATTGCAAGCTGCTGCTCGCAATCATTGCGAGCAAACTGCTTGCAACGGTTGCAAATGGCAGACCCGATATAATTTGCTGCGCAATGTGGCAGAAGGAACCCAAATGATATAATTCGTGGTGCTCAATGTTGCGGAAGGTAGACACACGATTAAATTTGTTGCGTAAAATGTTGCAGAAATAATTGTTGTACGCAATGTTTGTTGCACGTAATGCTGCAGAAGGCAGACAAATTAAAATGTTGCGCGCGATATCGTAGATGGCAGATACGTGGAAATTTGTTGGAGGGAACATAACAGAGGACACGTAAAACGGGATTTAATTCTCCTGCTAAAATCATGCTTGCAATAGTGCTCGCAATATTTTCATTGGCAAACAGACAAGTGGACAACACATTACACGATTACACCCTAACTCTATTGAAATTGCTCTTTAGCGACGAGAATGGACAAAGCTTTTCATTTTATCAGTTCAGTTATTGCATTTTCCACAGCGGTCTCATTTTGCAAGGAAAAATCAGCCCCTTGAACTGAAAATGAGCTCGTTTAAACGTTTTGTTAAGGTTAGAATAAGCAGTGGATTCCTAGCAAACGTACGCACCACGATGCCCAATGTAGTGGTAAAATGCCCCTCCCAAAGTAGCCTCCCCGCAGACGTCCTTTGGGGTTCGTTTGTCACGCAGAAATGAATGCGTGACAAACGAACCCCAAAGGACGTCTGCGGGGAGGCTACTCCCAAAGAAGAAATGTTTTGCATCTTGTAATTTTCCGGACTTCAGATGAACGGCAAATGGCTTGTTCGGCAGAGACTTAATAAACTACATGTATGCGTTTATGAAGGCATAATGCATGATGGTTTCCTTACCTTTAAACTCCTCCATCTCACTATGAGAAAGACCGCATCTTCGGGCCTCTAACCAACACCCGGATCGTCCAAAGAAGTTAAACATGACGCTTTCGGTTCAAATTCCCCACCGAGACAATGGTCAAATTCCCCACTCCCCTGGCACAAGTAATGGTCAAATGCCCGGGGTTTTCCAAGGGGGGATGTTGAGGTTTTGAATTGATCGGCGTATAAGCCGGGGGTACTTTTTGTAAAGGCTTATACGGGGAGGCTCCACCGGAAAGGGATACCTTTTTAAGGCTTTAGGTACTGATGAAAGGCTGGAAAATGTTTTTGATTTATTCAGATTTTAAAGACAGCGACTTTACAGCAGTCAAAAGAGCTTCAAAGTTCTAAACTGGGTAACTATTTGAAAGGGGTATCATTTGATAGAAAGTATACGAGTACGAAAGGGGTACCTTTTCCGTCAAAAATGGTATATAAAAGGGTAAGGGGTTGGACCTTGGGGTGGAATCTCCCCGTATAAAACTTTTTGAGTACCTCCCACTCCCAAACGTATAAGGCAAAAATAGTTTTTTTAACAGTCTCAGGAGAAAGAATGGAGCCGTCTAAGCTGAATATAAGTTAAACGTTCGAGAAAGGGCTAGGGTTACTTATTGTAGATCGTGTCATTCAGTTATGAGAGACACATATGGTGGATTGGTGTGATAGTTGAATGGAAATGGGAAGAGATTAGCATGTGGAAGGCCCAGGTTCGACCGAGCCTCGCGTTTCCTCTCACGTGAATTCTCGCGACTCTCCCAAATAGAAAGTTTGCTCGAAGGCTAGGTTCGACCTAGTTTATGAACTTCTTTCTTTTTATTAGAAAGAAACAGTTCCAAAATTTTGTAATCGACCGTAAAACTGGCAAAAACCAGCGGTCACATTTGAATACAAAAATTGATTGGCCTTAAATTGAAAATTGCGTCACGACATTGCAAGCTACCTTATAAATGAATGGCATAGGATGAAGTTTGTTACAAGCAGGAGGCCTTCCTGGGACACGTGAATTTGTAGATTCCGTGCGAGAAGAGGCATCTTTTCCCTGGCGTTCGACGGCTTGGAAGAAAATAGGCAGGGATCTGCTCCGATCTTGTGCGGAACAATACCAGGGGTGTACAACCGATGCAATTCAATCATTCTGGCAATTAATATTGCACGTTAAGTTGAACCCATAGATCTGGACCCAATAGAGAGACTTCAAAATCCCGTTTACGGCTGTCAGTTGTACCACGTGACCAAGTTTGCTCTTTATTTTTCATTTACAAGTCATTATTTCTACCAGGGAATAAGTTGTATGATGTTATGTTCATCCATCAGATTTATTTTGGACAGTTTATATCTGCTCATTTCCTAACTTGAGAAGTTGTCACGGCTTGAATCTCACGTTTGCCGAAGTTGAGAATTTCTCAAAATAGAAAATGAGCAGATAAAAACAGCCCAGAAAGTTATTATGGATAAAAATTTGCTTGAAACTACTAATTTATGTGTAGAAATAATGAACAGTATAGGCGACAAGCAAAGGGGAAACTTGGTCACGTGGTACAAATTCGCGTTTGCCTTTTGACGTAAACGTGATGCTTAACCTCTCTAATCTCCCTAATGACATCGCCTGTTTTGAGGTTGCGTGACGTGAGCGACTGGGTCCAAGTTGAGTCGAAATGCACTGTGGGACTGTTTTGGGAACGAATGAGTCTGGCCCAGTCTCCTGCGGAAATTTGAAATAAGTAACAGTCTTTAAAACGATCCCATGGTGCAATTCGATACAATGCTGAGCCAGTCTCTTGTGTTAAGCCTCCGGGGAATATACTTTTTATGTATTTCCAGGGGAAGGGGGTGGGGGCTGATGGAGAGGGAGAGCTTGTTCAACTTAGTAAAGCATATTGCCGATAGCAAGTAAAAGGAAGCGCCATCCTTGAGTTAAGGACTTCCTCTTTTGGGTGTGGAGAATTACTGTTTGGCAAGGATATTTCATTGATAATATAACAAATTGTACTGTACTTTGACAAAAGCATTAGTTATTTTGAGCGGATCAGCATTGTCTTGTTGTTTACCGCTTTCCCCTGGAACCTAAGCAAGCGGTGAATGCATGGTAATTAATCATGACATGCGTTAAGTTATCAGTTAACGGAACAAATTTGTGCAAATAATGGATGGAAGCATTTATCGTCGAATGGGCGGATTCATGCATGACGCATGATCAAAGAGCGTTAATATCTAAGGATTTAGCGCTAAGAAGGTTATAAGCTTGTAACTTTACCCTGATTACTTTAAGTGGTTTTATAATGTGCTATAATACTAAGTTGGTATTGTAGGAATTCAACTGGCGTTTTTCGTGTATCCAAAAACAATCAAAAGGGGGTTTAAATCGTGGGGATTATTACGTTTTTAATTCAAGTATTCTAAAGTTAAATTACATTTCAATGCCTTTATTTCGCATGAATTGCTGCTGAATTAGAGGCGGGATAAAATCAAGTGAGTTTATACTCATGACGAAGTTTGTTCTTTCTTATTCAGCTATTGTTAACCATTCTTTCGGAAAGAATGGTTAACAATAACTGAATAAGCAAGAACAAATTTCATCATGAGTAACGAAAGAACTTCTAAAACAGTGCAAACGTTAACTAGATTTTTCCCAAGATGATATCTCACTATTTCCAGGATAGCCAGCCTTGACAGAATATATTAATGAATAGCTTTTCAGTCTGCGTTTTGGTCTTGTTTCATTTGTCATAGAGAAAAGAGTGTAAGCTTGCGTGATGAACCGAGGTTCGCAGGAGGGGGTGGCAGCTAGGGGGAAGAAACGGAGGGGTTTATCCTCAAGCGTTCACCTTCTTTACCTCCTCCGCAGGCTGATAGTGTCCTTTGGAAGTATTTGGATTAAAAATAGACAAAACTATTCCATAACGTGGCAACTGAAGCATTGGTTTTAGTCGTCTCCAGCAGAATTTATCTTTATTTCGAGCCCTTTTCCATCGGACATGGTAGGGAGGTCTAGGGAGCGACAACATATAGGGAAAGCTGCTCGAAGGCTATCGTAAATTGAAAACACAAATGCTGTTCATATCACTCAAAACGATTAGTGGCGATTTGTTATCCACGAAAACAAGCGAACGCACATGTTAGCAATCAAGTTTGTTGTTCATTTATCATTTCCATTAATCGTATGTTTTCAAAACATTACTGTATTTTGAAAAACAAGACTTTCAAAAGAAGATTACCTTTAAAGTGGCAAGAGGCTTAGTTAGGAATTCGATAACACCACTTTCTAAAGGAGCTAAAGAGAGCAAGCAGAAAAGCGATGAAAACTCGTCAGTTGTGACTAATTGTTATTAAAAGAGCACCGAAAAGAATTGCATTTCAGATGATTTATGTTTGAATAAATTTCTCACAGCGGATTCGAAGGAGCCGACATCCGTGTGTTTATCAGTGCAATCTAAGTAATGAGTTGTTTCATCGCTCGTAGATGTATACCGCCACCGCATTGTCCTTGTTACGCAATGGGTGGCTTGTCCCGCACGATATACTGGTGAACTGGTACTTGCTGAGTTCTTGGAGGGGCAGAGCATGAAAGGAAAAATTGACTATTATACCAGTGAGGTTAACTTTGGAGCTGACATTTTTTTGTTCCATTACTACGTGCAAACTTTTCCATTTAATCTCTTAATGCCGAATTGCATACAAGATAATGATTATCAACAGGTGTTAGGCTCGTGAGGCGTAGAATGCTTAGCGGGTAACAAATGAAGCCGAAAAGCCTTATGGCCTCACTTAGGAAAAAATTGACGATTGTTTGACTACTATCAGGAGTCTCTTAGACGCCTGAGAAATTGCACGATTACTTCTCTAGAAAGCGTTACTGCTTTGTGCCGCCGGAATACTTCAGGGGCGTTTCAGTGTGATCGTTCATTCCTAAAATGTCTAAAATGGCGAACACTAAAATTCATGAAAATACCAGATTTCCAGTTTGGGGAAACAAATAAACTAGTCGGTGAAAGCACTGCCGAAAAGACTCCCTTTTTTAACAGAAACAGAATAGGTTTGACTTCATGATCGTGTTTGGAAGGGCCAGTGGACTGTTCAAGTTCGAGTGTGAACTAGTTAGTCTTGGAGAAGAGATCCTAAATTCAGCGAAGTTCCGAGAATTTCATTTTGTAAAATTCTGAAAAGTACCGTAGCACGTGAAAGAGGTTTTATTTGATTGGTCATTCCATAGGATTTAGTCAATAGATTCAACAGTCAGAACAACCTTACGAGGCTCCATCATTATCATTCACTCTGGTAATAAACGGTAAACGTACACATGTAAACCTACACATCGGCTTTCCTCAGGGGTAGGACCTCGGGCCATCCAGCGGGATTGTAAAATGGGCCGGCAAAGTTTACAATTTCCCCCAGGGGAGGGGTAATTTAACAAGACAAAGTCCACGCCTTCAAGTGCTTCTCAATGAAAAATTCCCCTGATATCTTCCTCAAAGAACTGGGATTAATTTGATTAAGGGGACTTTTTATGATACTCTGGGTAGCTGGTGCAATCACTGTTCACTCATGACTGTTAACAAAGACCACAAAATTTTCTATTCCCCGCCCCTTTCCACAGAAGTCAAAACAATCTCTTCAATTTTTCCCTCCCCAGGGCCGGGGCAGAGAAACCAATTTCCATCCCCTTGCTTTCTCCAGCACATTCCCCTGGTTAGCCCTGGATATCTACCCCAGGCTAGGGGGAAGCAAATGACATGACACTAATTCAACTGATAAACTTGAGGGCGACGATGCGCTCATTTGACCCCCTTCTCTCGATGGTTTCTAGAATAACACTTTCTGAGAAAAAAGTTTGGGTTTAAGATCAACAGTTCCTTGGTGGAAGTGTTAAGGACAGGAGAGAGATCTAGTTGGTGGCCGGGTAGGGAAGCGATCTTCGCCGGAAGCCTATTTCGAAAAGCGGCAACAAAATTAATCGCGTTTTGTGGATGTGTCTCAGAATTAATTTTTACCCCTAACCTAAGCACTCCTTTGGTGCATGGTTGGTTGTAGGTTTAAGAGAATCATTTGACTCACCCAGCCGTAATCTCGGAAGCCACCCTTTCTTAGGAGAGAGAGCAGGAATAGAAAGTCTGAAAATTTTGTGAAATTGAAATGGAAACCATCGTTTTTAGTGACGTTTAACCATTAAAGTTTTTTTTTATGGAAATTGACGATTGAATAATTTTCAAATTGTAAACTAGGTAAGATCTTGAATTATCTATAGAACACATATCCAGCAAACAGAACTTTGAAACCCAAGGGAAACACAGTTGAAATTTTTTTGGAGATATAATTCACCGAAGGATTGCAACTTGCGGAGACTACAACTAAAAGTTTAGAATAAAATAACACGCAATGACGGTATTCGGTATTAATATCCGAAGGCCTCCGAGGATTACGCAATTTACCGACAATGATACGTAGATGTTTCGATTGCTGTAACCTGCAGCTCTTATTCAAAGCTCCACCACGTTCAACTATCAACATCAAAAGAATAAAAAAGAATGCAAATGAATACAACGGCTGTAATACTGAGCACAAAATATGGTTTTCTCTATTCTTCATAAAACAGCATATCTAACATATAAAAAATGTTTTATTTTCCGAGAATTCAACTTAACTAGTTCAAGTCAGAAGACTCGTGACTCAGCATAGCCATGTCTCTTTGCTAACTAAACAAATGCACATTCAATATGGTGGCAAGTATGCCAGTCCCAGAAGGCGAATGAAAAGACTAGAGAGAAAACCGAGGACTTTTAGATTTACCATCAGAGTTCATATACGTAGTATATGATCTCACATAAAATGCAATCAGTGATTCTAACGTGGAGGAAATTCTATTGCTGCAGTTTAAGATTAGCCTTACCTTTTATATATTTTACGTTGCTATTTCTCATACACCAATGCACCGAAACTCTCTCACTTTCAAAGATGTGCGAAACAGGGCTCTACCACTTAGCTTACACAGTCCTGTTACTCTGAATCACCGTGTCTAAGATTAGACCAATATCTTCATCTCTTGGTCCAAAGGAAAAAAACCCTCTGAGCAATAAACCATTTATAATTTCAAGTCCCGGATTTTAAACAGCCCTCATCCTTTCTTCTGCTCATCATCATTCATCATTTAGATTTTCGCTCTAAATAAACCAGCCACTATAAATGATTGTTACCTAAGGCAAATCAGTTTTTGGACCTTGGACTGTCTAGGCTGAGAAGTTGTTTGACATGTCCCCTTGCTATATTGCTGTTACTGATCTGGAATCTTGCAGCTATGAGAGATGCATGTGTTATACTACTTACACTTTTCAGCTGTATAATGATCCTTCTTTTCTCGTAAATCAAATAAAATTTTAAGATTAAGGCCTTCAAGATTTCCAAACACTGATAAATACTCAGTGTCGGTAATGGAGCTCGGTTCCCGACAACGCATAGAGAAAAACTAAATAAATACAGTTATTTGCAAACTTACCACTGCCAACTGAAAAATGTGCTCCTTGAAAACACACGGCGTTCAGTTTAAATTGCTAACGTTGTCTTGATAATAGTGTCCCAATAAAGATATACTAAAGATCAAGACTGAGTTTAAAGAAGAAGAGTGCTATACCAATTGTTAGCACCTCATAACAAGTTTTGGATATAATCCATCGTGTTGTTTCTTTAGTCCACAACATTTTATAACCTCACATTCACTGTGTCCAGAAAGCTTAGCTGAATGATTGACTAATGCACTGCATCAGACAACTATTAAAACGCGGAGCGTGCTCGAGATAGCAGTCTGCGATGCAGGACTGACTTCATATCAAGAGGGGGCGAGTTGCGCTGCTAAAGGTTGTGCTGTTAAAGTTGTTCTTGCACTAATGTGTAAACTATTTTACAGTTTGAGCATTGAGTGCACAATTCAAAGTTCAAATGAAAATTAAAGTAAAAAGCAAAAATACTTGAAAGGATGCAGTTTTGTAATGTCACTGGTAGGTCGCTGTGCTTTACCATGGTGGCTCAAAAGAAACGATTGCTTCGCCTTCCAGATTCCTTTTGCCCATTCAGCCTTGTTACGAAGAGAACATGGCTTGTTCATTGAAAAAAGGACGCAGAAACATGTGATTACACTTTTCAGGAAGGTATTTATCTCTTTTAATAAGGGCAAATCTTTTTGGGGAAAGGAATTCGGCGCATTCTGATATTTCAGCACCTTTAGCCTGACCCTTAGCTTTCATCCACCCAAAACTTTGTCTACGTCAGTCAAAACTGCAGCAGAGCGTTTTATTGCAGTGAAAACATTTCAAAGTTTTGACCTGACCGTCATTCACTTTTCATGTGCAGCTAACAGCTACGCAAACGCAAGAAAAGACAAAATTCTCGTCACAATTAACTTTGACCATGCCTGCATCTGGGGTACTGCAATTAGAGCATGTCCCCAGGTCGAATTAACTCTTCTGATTTTCAAGGAGAGTCAATATCAACACAGATTGATGTACAAAAGAAAATTATTGCTCAATAGCTTTCCCTTTAATAGTTACACTTCTATAGGATGGGATTCACAAACTCAAGACCCTAGTAATGAACATGAACAAAATCACAAGATGAAGTTTTCACTTTTCTTTGTCAACCGCTGGCGCTCAGCTTCCACTAATCTGGCCAAGTTATTCAATATCCGTACCAAGTAAAGCAACATTTTTTCTTCCCACCTGTAGGTAAACCATTAAAATACGTCAAAACGTTTTCTTTTAAACGACATTTTGCCCTCGTTTTTAAATACGGATCCTTTAGAAGACTTAAGACCTTTGAAGTAAGTATCCATCCGCCGATGTCGATAGGCTTCAGAACTAAAAATATTACGCCGAATTTGTCAGTTTTGGCACGAAAGGCAAGACGGATTAAGAGAAGTGCGTACGAAAAAAAGAAATTCCGCCAGAGCCAATATCACGTAATTCTTACTCTCGGGGTTAAATGAAGACATGCAATACACTTCTACTGATTTTGTGAAGGAAATTTCATGGTGTATCCATTCAAATGAACTATTTTGGCATTACTTTCCCATAGTATTACTTGTTTGTCAGTAATTCAGGAAATGAAGTCATTTGTAGCACACCTTTAAATTTTGATTGTGAATATGCTTGACAGCTCCAAGGGTAATCAGGAATTATCGAAAAGTATGAACATAAAAATAAATCGATTCAAAATTCTGGAGGAGGAAGATATAAAACTCGGAAAAAAAAGGAGGGGGTGGTAGCCGGTAGGTTAATTGAACAGAATTTTCATCTGCAAGGCCCTCTTATATAATCCACCAAGACGATTGGTTGGGTGTGATAGGATTTTCGTAGTTCTGTATATAGATGTGTTAAAAAAATAATTTAGAAGACAGTGATGTGCAAACGTTTTCTGGAACGATATCCCATGGTATGACCAACGACATAAAAGCTTTAAAGGCGCGTTATTTTTCATACAGTGAATTCTCTGGTTACGGGGAACTCTACATTGAGAGGAACACGGACCCGTCCCTAAAAACGGCTGACGCCTACCGATCGCCGGTTTTCGCCGTTTATCAGCCTTTGCCTTTGATTCTTGCTAAGAAGAGCACTTTATACCGGTCTAAACGGGTCTAAATCGTCTTAATTAGCGGGAGTGGACTGTACTACAAAATAATAATTTGTTTTTTCTTACTTTGATTTTGGTCAGTATAGGGACTGCGCAAAGAGGCGACGACGCTTCTAGTGCCACCTTGTATAGCACATTATTAATGCACAAAAGAAAATTATTGCCCAATAGCTTTCACTTTAATAGTTACACTTCTATAGGATGTGATTCACAAACTCAAGAGCCTAGTTTTGAACATAAACAAAATCACAAGACGGAGTTTTCTCTTTTCCTTATCGACTGCTGGCGCTCAGTTTCTACAAATCTGGCCGACTTATTCAATATCCGTACCAAGTAAAGCAACACTTTTTCTTCCCACCCGTAGGTAAACCATTAAAATGCGTCAAAACTTTTTCTTTTACACGACATTTTGCCCTCGTTTTTAAATACGGATCCTTTAGAAGACTTAAGACCTTTGAAGTATGTATCCATCCGCCGATGTCGATAGGCTTCAGAACTAAAAATATTACGCCGAATTTGTCAGTGCTGGCATGAAAGGCAAGACGGATTAGGAGAAGTGCGTACGAAAAAAAAGAAATTCCGCCAAAGCCACTATCACGTAGTTCTTACTCTCGGGGTTATATGAAGACATGCAATGCACTTCTACCGATTTTGTGAAGGAAATTTCATGGTGTATCCATTCAAATGAGCTATTTTGGCATTACTTTCCTAAAGTATTACTTGTTTGTCAGTAATTCAGGAAATAAAGTCATTTGCATTGCACCTTTCAATTTTGATTGTGAATACCCTGCTTGACAGCTCCAAGGGTAATCGGGAATTACCAAAAAGTATGAACATAAAAATAAATCGATTTAAAATTCTGGCGGAGGAAAATATAAAACTCGGAAAAAAACGAAGGGGGCGCTAGGTTAATTGAACCGAATTTTCATCTGTAAAGCCCTCTTATATAATCCACCAAGACGATTGGTTAGGTGTGATAGGATTTTCGTAGTTCCGTATATAGATGTGTTAAAAAAATAATTTTGAAGACATATTATGATGAGCAAACGTTTTCTGAAACGATATCCCCTTGCAATTGTCACCGACATAAAAAGCTTTAAAGGCGCGTTATTTTTCATACCGTGAGGTCTCTGATTACGGGGTACTCTACATTGAGAGGAACACGGACCCCTCCCTAAAAACAGCTGACGCCTACAGATGGCCGGTTTCCGCCGTTTATCAGCCTTTGCGTTTGATTCTTGCAAAGAAGAACACTTTATACCGGTCTAAACGGGTCTTCGTCTGAATTAGCGAGAGTGGAGTGTACTTCAAAATAATAATTTGTTTTTCCAGGCTCCTGGTTTTATCTTACTTTGATTTTGGTCAGTATGGGGACTGCACAAAGAGGGCGACGACGTTTCGAGGCTTTAAGAGGAAAAAACCCTACTAATTTAAGTTACAATGTAATAGCAGGAATATCTCCAACTGTTGTTCGGACGCGGGAATCGAACTTGCGACTCCCGCTGTGTAGACCACCAACTAAGCTACCCCTGCCGCAGTTAGTCTTCAAGAATTCCTCTTGAAATTTGTCCACCTCCTTTCAGCAACTAACAATTTGCCGGACACAATCAGTCCTTGCAATCCACCCACGCTATGTCAAAGTTACTTCATCGAGGGGGTAGGCCACACCCATAAATGAGACCCACATCAGAGGTACCTGTCGACACATGTTGACGCAGACAGAGTGTTTTGCAACTCTCCGGAAATATCCATCATTATGTGATTTTTAAAACCACGCACAAGTGTACTAACGGATCGATCAGATTAGACTTCCTTTTATAAAAAATGGTTTGCGGGAGCAGGGTGTTGACTTGCGAGAAAAAAAGGGGAGAAAAATTGAGCGAGGGTAGGATTTCGTGTTAGAGATTGTGGCAGAAAAAATATTTGAGTGGAACCCCCTTACATAAAAGGCAGTTAAGAGTACTTTCCTAGCGTACTGTTTATTGTTGTTGTTAAAATTGTGTGTCCACTGGAATTAGAGCAACAATCGTACAGTCTGTCCACTTCAATCAGTAGTTTCCTGGTACAGTAATTTACGGAAATTTGTCACCAGATTTGTTGACTATAGATCTTTTTTAAGGGGATAATCTTTCTTTGGTTTCTTTTAAGATTTGCTATACACATTGGAAAGATCGATTATCTTGTTTTTCATCAGTGGACTGTTACTTTTCACATTTTGCTTAATACAATCGAATCAAGCATCAAAAGAATTGACTCTGTGCTCAATTAGTGAAGCTTAAGTAAGCCGGTATTTGACTGCAGATAAGATAAAAGCCACCAGATTTTAAAGGGGGAATTGCGTATAAATAAACCGCCTTTCAGTTTTCTAAGCTGTATGGTGCATCTTTTATCAAAATTGCTCAACCGTTCGGCTAAGTATCTCAAACAACCTACGCCAAAACGCTCTTCTTTTTGACCTTTGCGCTTAAGCTTGTGCAAGGGAGGAAAATCTTGACGTAAATACCTTTCAGTGGACGTGAACGGTAGACAAACTAAGGAGCACACTCATCTCGCAGAGATAAGAGATCAAAAGATGGTGGCAAGCGGATGCGATGCGCATCTTTCAGCTGTTGAATAGCCGCCGTTTACAACGTTGAAAGAGCAGGCAAATGGGTTCAATGTAATGATTTCGTCTTCGATTGCTTCTTTTGGCTCAGTGTTAAAGTAAGGCACGTGCAGCTTTCAATTTGTAGCCTTACCCACCTCACAATGACTGGGTTCAAGAAAAGCTAGGCACACATGTCTTTTGTATTTCCAAGATGATGTCGCTCATGAAGCGAATGCGAAGACGCCTTATTTAAATGCAACACGTGTTCAAAGAATTAAAAACCACGGATATTTTTAATAAGGGCAAGCAATTGTTGTGTGAAACGTCACATGATATTCAAAAAGGGGCATTTTACTTGTTTTCCTTTGTAAGGAAACCATATCTTCGTATCGAGTTACCACCGTGAAAAAGGCTAATTTGTCAGAGGATTTAAACCCTAATTGATGCGTTAGCCGCAACCTTTGGCCTACTTTTGTGTTTTGATGACTAATAGTCAATCGCACCAGACAGTGATACTTAACGCCTCAAGACAACCCTCCGAGCCATCATATTTTCGAAACAATTTATTTTACAAACCAAGGAAAGATGTAAAAAAGCGCGACTTTTCCAGAGCAAAATATACATCGTAATAGGTTTATTTCTAGCACCTCGATGCAATTTAAGATACAAGGGAGATATCGCACACTTCCAGTGTTATCACAGACTGGTTTCGGCGCAAGCCGAGCCATTTACTTGCAGCTAATGTAAATGCCACCCACCAAACTGAGATAACAGCTTTCCTTGTACAGTAATTGCCCCAACATCCGCCGGCTCCTTTCTTTAATAAATGGGAAAAAAAACCAAAATACAATTGCAAACGGAGATGGAGAAAATGTGGGTGCGCTCTTTAATTTGTCACGGTTGCAGAGCAGATTTGTTTAAGTCGATGATCATTGCATTTTTTGTCATTGATTTTATCTGGAATCGACTCTTAGAGCATGTCGAAGCAAGAAGAGAATATCCACGCCAGAAATAACTGCTACATCTTTCATCTGCCGGATTAATTGAAGGCGGTTCTCAGAACGCTATTACGAGCTGTCATTTTTCTGCTTGTAATCGTATAACTTAACCTACTACAAGCAATATGTTGAGAACACTGATTTAAGTTTCTATGCAGCGAGTGTTTTGTTAACCAAAACGTTGAGCCACCCTGCAGAGAGAGGGCACTTAAAGAGGTGTTTATAGGCTTAACGGGAATCGCAGCACAAACTACTTCATACTTCAGCCACAAATTTTGTTTTAACTTTCAACTGACAACAAATTGTGTATTGAGTAGTGAAGTGCTTCCTGAATGGCAAACGCGTTCATACACGAGTCCAAAACGTGAAGCCTTTTAATTCTAACCTTGGCGAAAGTAAATATTCACCAAAACTTTAAAATTCCAAAGTTTTAAATCCTAAGAAATACTCAGTACACTGAAATCTTATGACTGCCAAAATTCGGCCAAAGAAAAATGGTCAAATTAATTGGCAACACCTAACGAATTCGTCAACAGATTCAAAAGATAGTGGAAATATCAAAATCATCTCTTCATAACTTAGTCTAGGGGTGAAAAGGTTCGAATCAGTCCCAGCAGTGGTTAAAAAACACAAACGAAATATTTCTTCTAAACGTGACAGAAAAAGGGTAGGGTGCGATATTTGCACGTACCAAAACAACAACAACAACAACATCGAGCTTTATTTGTATGATCATACAAGTACATACATTATTGCAAAAGCTATTGTACCATTCACAGCTATCCACGAGAAACGATGAAATATTTTTTGGGACCGGTTCAAAATCTGATTTTTTTGCCGTTCAGAGAGTGAGAGACAGGAAGGAAGCGTCAATGGCTCTTCTCGAAGCCGAAAAGTCCTTGTTGAGGATCTCAGTTGATCATGTTTGTTAACATGTCACGAGTCAAAATAAATGAGAGCACAGCTCAGTTGGTTTGTCTGTTTTTGTAGCACTTCGAGTCATGTTTGCTCAATAAATAAACTCTACACAAATCCAGCTCGTTCAATTTCTTGTAAATCGACCATCTTTGTGTCGTACACAAACCGGCCTCAAGAAGTTTTGCGCATAATTGTGGTAATTTAGTATGTGGTATCCGACAAGACGCCGTTTTTATTTTTTATAAATGAGCGCTTAATAGTTAACTAAGAAGCTCTGATCGATAATACCAACAAGTTTGGAAGCAAAGTGTGGAAGGTGACTCGTCGTTATCTCAAAAGGTGCATCTAATCTACCGTTTTACAGAAATCGGACGTGTAAACTCCACCTTACAAGACAAAGGCCGTGCTACTAGCCCGGCCAAACGTGACAAAACCGAGAGGTTTCTGAAAAAATTTAGCCGAGGTAAGCTGGTTTAGGAAAAGCCCTTTCAAAAGGTTTCATTGTTCCCTAAATCACCCTTGAACTGCACAACCATACAGGCCAAGATCGCATTCACCGAGGAGGCCGGCGCAAACGTGATTTCTAAACTCAGTCAGTTGACGATTTTCTACTTTATGGCAAAAGGGTCTCATTGATTTTCTTTACGTAAGTGCAGAATTTACATATTTGGAACTTAATACATAGAATTTTTGTGTATGTAGATACTGATTTCTTTTGCGGTTAGCTAGCTAACCTTCCCAATTTCAATGTCAATTTTGAAGACGTGATGTAGCCAGCTAAGTTTTGAGTCTATAAACCAGATCTAAATAAAAGTGAATCTTTGGCGAGTCTTCACATGGCGTCATTTGTTTTTTGCTGTTAAAAAAACAAGAAATATTGGGATATTTGACAAAAAAATTCTTTTTTGAGTGCACTTGAAATTGAAGGTTTTTTATAATGATTGAATTCAATGCAATGAGATCATTTAAATCCTCAACATTCCTAAAAGGGATGAAGCTTCAGATTATATGGGGCCATTAAGTTCTTATCACAGGTCCCCTTTGCCATAAATTCCCGAAAACAAAAATAAATGACCAGCTAGCAGAAGTCTCTACTTTTCTGATTCAGTAAGGTGAGAATATCTTTTTTACGCGAGGGAAAAAGTTGCGTAGAAGGGCCTGTTGCTTATTATTACGAATATAGCGATTACCAAAACTGCGTCACGAACATCGAGAAGCTTGATTTCGAGGTCATTTTATATTGCGAAATATCAAGGCCAGTTTACAAGTTGTGGTTTTTGCTAAAGTACATTTACATGTATATAGTTTCAAATTTTTTCGTTCAAAAAACAACCTGAAAATTTGTTGCCGGCCGCGCTTCTCAATTTCACCGTCATCGTACGAAAGGGCAACGTGAATACTATCTCTGCATGAAAGAAATTTATCGCTATTATCCCAAGACTCAAACAGCGGATGGGAAATACTTCGCTGACAGTGACTCTGAAAAAGATTTGAACTGAGAGATATGCGTTTTAAGTGAATGAAGTTGGTACTTTCATCAGCTCAATCTCTTCAGTGTTTGTTCTGAAATGAAAGGATACCTTCACAGACCTTGCCTATGATTCTTTACGAAGCAAAGACCAAACGTAACTCAAACCGAGACAGGAAATGAAGTCAGTATCTCTTCAGCGTCAATCTTTTACACCAGAGGAATTTTTAAATCAAACACTCTCTACACATTTACTGGCAAATACTACTTAATGTGGAAATATTAAGATAACTGTCTGCTGGTGATAAATAGTAATGGTAATAGTTAGTACTCTACACTGAAAAGTGGTCCAGTTCGGTTCTTTAGGTCTTTGGATTCACAGTGAACTGAGCTACTGAGCAAGTCTGGCCTTACCTAGTATATTTCATGTGGTTCTCGCTCTCGAGTCCCCAGACGAAATCCTAAACTGAGTATTTATTAAAATCACACTGAAACAGAAACAGTTGTCTGGTAGTTCTTCTTTTACGCCGTGAATTGTTGTTTTAACTTTGAGTTTTTTTAAATGTGACCGATACAAGCAAAAGCATTTCCTTTTTTGTTCCTGACTGTGGTACTGGTTGGCATGCATCACGCTGTACAGGAGTGGATTTCATTTAAAACAGCGGATCACCCATCGCTTGGTGAGCAGCTCCCACCCTTCCCAATGATTTGTTTTGAAAAATAGACGCTCTTTGAATAGGGGTCCCAGCTTCAGGACACGTTGAAAATTCACTATTTTTACAGTGCCCATAATACACCTTGTTTACCTCCTAATTTTTTTAAATAAGCATTCTACTCAATTTTTCTTGAAACGACTGTAAAACCCAGGAAAAATTGGGAGCAATGGCGATGCAAACTTTTGAAGGGTAAACAAGGCGTAATAGGAGCAAAGTGACAATTGTGAAGTGTAAAGCATCTGGTGCGACGTGGCATACAAACGAAACTTCTTCAGAAGTACTTTCACATGGTACCATTTACTTTTTAATATTCACATAACAAAATGACCAGATGACATGTGGAAATTTTTTTGGATGCTGAACTGGGGCACTTTTCGAAGCGAATGAGTTCTCACGCATAGGCATTAAAAAATAAAATTAGTCAGCAAGTCGTTTTTGTGGGCCTGTCTATTCTTCGATAGCCTGACACTGATTTCACGGTTATTTTAAGCATGGAAGCTCTTTGGGTGAAAAGGTTTGAACCCTATCTCTTTCACTTTTTTAGTCATATAGTGTGTAGTTCAAAGGACAAAACCCTACGATTTGATCATTGAAACCAGTAAAACCTCTTCAGTTGGGAACTGACAAGGTTGTATTCATTGTTTTTAATATCATTCAAAAGGAAGTTAGGGACCTTTCTTTTTAAATACTTCTGGAGACGCGAGGGATCAAATACGTGATGCAAACTTCGCCGCATTTTACTATAAGTTTAAATTAAAGTAATTCTCTAGTGATATATAGTTAGTAAAGGCTAAAATAATCGCGAATTAAAACAAAGAGCATCACTTCATATCAACAACAAACAGATTCAAATCGCGTTCGAATATACTTTTAAAGGTTGTTTGAAAGCAACGTATTAAGTTTGATCAAGGCATTAAACTCTTGTCGAGTTGTTTAGCAAATACAAATATTTTGCCAATCCTGGAGGGAAACAAGATGGCTCAAACTCGAACTAACTCGAATGAACAACTTTATTTATGATGTACGAAACGTTGTCCTAAATACTTAAATCAGTTTAGCAAAGCTGTCTAGTTTTCAGAAAATGAAAGCAATTACAGTTTGAGATTTAAGTTTTTTTGGGTAACATTACCGAGATTCTTCTTGGAATTTATAAATAGACTATTCACTTAGTCGAAATCCAATATGCATGGTTCTGAACCAAGAAATCTGAAAATAGAATGCTTAGAGTCGTTTGAGCTCCTGTTATAAACGGCTTGTGGTGCAAATTGAATTAGAGTAAATGGTAAAGCACAACAGTTTAAACTTAAGTTAATTTTTTTACTAATAGACTTAAGTGTGTGGCCTGTATGTTATAACTTTGGGATAACGTTTTGGCGTAGAGGAAATGTTTCGTTTCTGGTGATACAGAAGGGAGAATGTTGTGGCATTTTCCATCATAGTCTGAATTTCTGAAAGTATCAGGTCTTGTTTCAAACAAGTTAAGATGAAGCAAAACCGTTAAGCAGGATTTCAGGTCGCGACGAAGGATTACGGCAACTTACAGACGACCAAGATTGATTTGAATGTGACTGATAGGGAGTGGCAGCCGAAGAACTTCACCGCTGAGCTGCTCCTTAATATCAAGACGT